GTAAAGACAAGCATCTTATGAAAAAGTAGTAACTTGGCATTGTATCTTCAGTTCATAATTCCTTCCATTTGTTTCTTTTCATCTAAACTCTTCCTTGTGATTAATAGTTATTCATTTTAGTTCTTTGTGAAATTTAGAACAGCGGGTATTCGGTCGCTGTTGTTTCACTTTCCAGGGTGGAACAGGGCAGAAATTAAGTACATTTAGGATTTGCTTGCATATTATTTTAGATGTGGATAGCATGACTTTATCTTCCAACAGAATAAATATCACACGGACAGCATTCATCTGGGACATATCTGAAGAACAGTTGCACCCTTTTAACCTCAATTCATTAGCTGGATAACTTATATGAAAGGAATACTTCTTAATGGAGATAAACCATTAAAACAGTTTCAAGTAACCCTTGGTTTAATACTGCCCAAAGTTTCTGAAATCCATTCTTGGAGATTTTTTCAGTTACAATATAGGTGAAATGAAGAAGCTGCTCTTTTAAAAGCTTGATTCTTAATAATCTTTTTACCTTCAATTAGTAGAAACAAAAGAATGGCCTCTGAGTTCTTATCCTGGCTTTTCACTAGTGTCACAAAGATACTGATTCTTTTCGGTAGAGGCAGTCATCACTTTTACAGATATAAAATCATCAATTAATTTCAATAATATAGGTCAGATTTTTACTTTCGTGTCATTCAAAGTTAGTATGTACACATGGCTTCAAAATATGAACCGCTACCTACAGCTTTCTTGAAGTCTTTGCCCAGAATGTTACTCCTGTCAAAGTAATTTTAATATTAAAGTTCTTCAGGAAAAAAAATGACTCAACATTATGTTTTATGCTTTAATTTTCAGATCTATTTAGTACTTGTTGCTTGTTATTAAAGTGCATTAGACATGGTAATTATCATGAGATGCTCAGAACTCTTGAAAAAATCAGTAACTACAAGTTATACATCCTACAATGTAAATAATAATGGCCAATTGCTTAATACAATCAAATCCCGTTGTCTTAATTGTGTTGTTAGACCCGCTGAAATCCTGAAGCAATTGCAAAATTTATCCTACCTTCCTTTCCTGGAAGGGATAACATATATGAACAGACAAGCCAGATACTTTATGCTAGTGTTCATTGTGTTACTGCAAGAGATAACGACTATGCATTTTTGTAAAATGCCTCTATTCTTTTAATTTTCCTACTTAAAATACTTCACATTGTGAACACACAGCTTAAAGACATGTAAAACTTCACAATAAGGACTGTTTATTATAACTGTATTTGTACTGAAGAACCCTTACTGAGTCTGGGATCTGGCTGTACAAATACTTCTCTGTTGAGAGAAGCATGTATTAGAATTGGGGTTTTATTATTAAGTTAGCATTTTCTTCCTACTTTTTAAATACAGGGCTCACTTTATCAGAAGCTTTCTGGATCAAATCTGCATTAATCAGATTTTAAACCCGTTACATGAAAATTCAATTGTCACACTGGGATTTTAGTACAAGGTCAAGTGTTTTGTACATCCTCATGAGTGACATGAAAATGTGTAATAGTAAGTAATTAAGTATGTACCCATATTTTTTTCTTTAATATTTGCTTAATTAACAATCTTAAGTGTGTAATACACTTGGGTGTCTTGTATCCTATTCCTAGAACAACTAGAAGTCATCATATTTCAAGTGCCTGTCAAAATACATTTTTAAAATACATTTTTAACTTTTGGTCTTGTACTTCATCCTATCATCCAAGCTTGCACAGTAAATGAGTTAATGTTAAATTCATTACACAGTTTTCATACTAAAATGAGTTCTAAAACTTGTATTTAGATATGGATGGTGAGTATCCAATGGGAGGTAAAACATTTCTGGTTTCATTTCTTATATCTCAGCATTTTCCACACATTTTTGTTTTGTTGTGTTCATTCAATGTTTTCATATGCTGATGTAGACAGTTCCTTACGGAATGAGCTCTCTCTCTTCTGTTAGCTTTTAGTCCATAGTCTGCTCTGCACCAAACAGAACCTTAAATTACATATAGTATTAAAAATACTAAATTTGGATGAAAGTGCTAAATGTGTTTTGCTTCTCTCTTCATCAAACTACACAAACATTCAAAACAAGTAATTTTTAGCTTGTTCTTAAAATATCAGCTATTGTCTAAACTCCAGTTGAGTTACCCTTTGCTTACATCATGATTCATTGAAGGACTGCTAAAAACATGTGCGAACATCTGTGGCAAAAATCTTGGCCTACTTTTCCAAGTATGCCTAACAAAAGAGAACTGTTCACATGGATATACCTTCCTCCCAGATACTAACTTCCAGTGTAAATGTCATTGAATCATAGAAAGGTTTGGGTTGGAAGGGACCTTAGAGATTATCCAGTTCCAACCCTGAGCCGCGGGCAGGGACACCTTCCACTAGCATGGGTTTCTCAAAGCCCTGTCCAACCTGACCTTGAACACTGCCAGGGATGGGACAGCCACAGCTTCTCTGGGCACTCTGTACCAAGGCCTCAGCACCTTCACAGAGAGGAATGTTTTCCTAATGGCTAATCTAAATCTCCCTTCTGTCATCTTAAGCGGGTCACCCTTGTCCTGTCACTACACGCCCTTGTAAAAACTTCATTGTAATCTCCTATAGCATTTTTCCAAAACAGACAGGTTCTGCTAGGCCTAACTAGTTTCAGAAGCTGTTTCTGTTAAGAATCAACCACTTTAATGCTCTCACCCTCTTCTGGGCTCCATATACGTCAGGAAACCCAGGTACAGTTGGGTTCAAAAGAACAAACATGGTTTACAACCAAAAAGTGCTGTAAATACTTCTTTGCAAAATTACTATTCTGACAATCTTCTTACTTCTTCATAACAGATAATGACTACGCTCATACTAGGTTTTCTTCATCATGGAATGGAATATGTATAGTTTTATCAGTGTAGTTCAGTAATTCCACACACAAGCAAAACAACATTGTATCTGTAGAAGCACTGTTTTGCTGGTATAAACTTGGTGTGTATCAGAACCAGCTGGTATACTTAGGCCATGCGTGGCAGGAATCCCTTCACAGACAAAATTCACATGTCAGCAGGCTTGCAAATTAATTCCTTTAAGCAAATGCTTGCATGCTAATAATGTCTTGTTGACTTTGATGGAACTGCTTAAGTGCTTGTGACACGTAAACTAAAGTGTGCTACAAGAGGAGAGCTCTTGATTTTAATTCAGTGTGAGGTTTGCCACTGATCTTAATGAGCCAAGGACATCACCTCAGCTATCTGCTGGATCAAACTCTTGCTTTTCATGAAGTGGAAATGGCAGTATACCTTCTTTTATGAAACAATTAGAGATATAAATCAAACCTGTTTCCCATTACTACTTTAAAGTAATTACCCCAATGACTATCACAGCTTTTCCTGTGGTTAGTAACCAAGTAAAATTGGTTAGATGTGGTTATTGTCAACAGAAGGAAATAGAAGGATCTTGCATGAAGCAACACAAACAAAAATTCATTAGGAGGACTGATGTTAAATTGACAATCTACTGCTACTTACTGTGTTTCTCTTTTGATACCCATGGTATATAATTGCAAAGCCAGAAAATGCTCAGAATAGGTGAGCAGTGTGAATTGAAAGGTCATTTCAGATCATTAATACAGCCTTAAATGTGTGTTGTCAAGGTGGCCTGGAAATGCTTTATTGACTCTTTGTTTTCATGTTGCTTCAGGTTCACCTCTGACCTTGTTTTCCTAGAAACTGTTACGCATCCTATTTTAGGATTATACATGTTGCCTTGGGATTTGTATATGACCTCTTTGTTCAAAGCTTTCTTGGTATTACATACGCCTGAATCACACAGCATAAAGCGTCGTGGAGTCCTGAGATGTTTTTGGTAACTTTTCCTGATTGAACAAATCTGTTAGCTTCTAGCTACTATTTCGGCACATGTCTGATATGGGTTCTAAATTACCATTTTGAAAGATATTTTAATAATGAAACCTGAGAGTGTGGGCGCTTTTGGTACCATGGTCCTGGTGACTGCATATGGATGTATCAGGCTTGGCTCCTTGGCAAGACTGTGATGGGAACCTACAAGAACACTGCTGCTGTTAGGAATTGGAACTGGGGTTGACTACTCAAGAGTTGAGTGGATGGCAAATGTGACCAACAGCAGCTTCAGAGCTTCTGACGGCCTTTTAAAGATTAAACTCATGCATTTTCTACAATTTTTCTTCAGTTTTTAGTAATTTTTATAGTAAATGTTGCTTTCTAGTAATTTTATCAATTTCAAAAGTGGGTTGACAGCATATATATATATGCCCGTTAAATGCATTTAAAATGCATTTAAAAAATCCAGGGTCAAATGCAGGCTCTAGAAACACTCTCCAGTACCCTTTCTAATGATGCTTAAGCACGATTTCATGTATTTAATTCTTCTCCTAATTGATTGCAAAATAACCTGCCTCGTGCTGGAAATAGGATTTAAAAATCGAAAACGCCTAAAACGTGAATTCACTTATTTCCCAGCCGGCAGAAATCCATCACATTTCTTCCAGAAAAAGGAGCGCAGAAGGACTGCACGCACGTCCAGGGCTTTTCCCGGCTTACGCTTGTAAACTGAAGCCATTCCTTCTGACCGAGTGAAGACGCCCGTTTTGTGCCCTTCGATCAAACGGCGCTCACTGACGCGCTCCCTTCCCCCCCGTCCCCGCTACGCCTGCGAGTCGCGCTTGGCGGGGTCGAGGTTCGGGAGGACTTGGAATCCGCCTACGCCCGCCGCCCTCCCACCCCCCCTCGGGCACAGCGGACTTTCCCCGACACCTCGCCTCAACCCAGGTGCCCCGTTGCGGCCGCTCAGCGCGGTGCCAGTGCCGCTGTCGACAGGGCCAGCGCCGCGCTAGGCCGCGCAGCTACACTGTTAATTACGGCGGCGGTGGCGGCAGCGCCGGGGACTCCCGCGGGCGGGGCGCGCTTGGGGGATTCCCAGCCTCCCGCGGAACGTTCGGGATCGTTCCGTGACGTCACGGCCGGGGGGCTCCCCGCGGCGGGGCGGTGTCGCGGCAGGCAGGCCCCGCCCCAGGGTCGTGCGGAGGCTCTCGCGAGGCCTGCGCGCGAGGAGCACTGAGGCTCGGAGCGGCGCCATTTTAAGAGCGAGGCGAGCGGGGTGTGTGTGTGTGTGTGTGTGAACGCGTATGGTGTGTGCGCTGCGCTCTTGCGCCCGCGTGTTCTCCCCCTCCTCCGGTTCTCCGGGTGCCACAGCCGCCAGGCCCAGGGCACCACCCCCCCCCCCTCCCCGGGGGGCTCCGGTGGCGCCGAGCAGAGGGCGGCTGGGTGGGCACCGGCAGTGCCGTGCGGGGCGCCCCGTCCCATCCCGTCCCCTTCCCTGCCGCGCGGCCAGGCCCGCCCCCGGGGCCCCGGTGAGGCAGGACGAGCGCGGGCCGACGAGTCCAGCTCACCCCCGCCCCATGCCCGTCGCGGCCCCGCCGCGGAGAGGCCGGGGGTAGCGGTGGAGCAGAGGGTCTGCCCGCGCATTGAGGAGGCGGGCCCCGCCGGGGCTTCCCCCGGGCGCGCTGGGGCTTCCCCAACGGCTCCCGCCGCTCCCTAGGCTCGTTCTGTGTTTCTGCTCAGTGTCCCTGGCGCAGGTCAGCGCCTCGCTCTCGGCTGCGTTGTGTGGAGACATCCATCCTTCCCAATAAAACGAGAAATGCCCTTTCCCCCGCGTCCCCTCCTGTCCTTCCTGTTTTCCTTCCCTTCTCTAGGGAGCTGGAGGCAGCGTTCCCCATGATCGTGATTGTTCCGTTCTCCGGGATGAATGAAGGTTTAACTGAGGCAGCTGTACCCCCGTTTGGCCCCCTGGTTGCATGTGTTTGCTTTGCTAGACTCAGGCATCTGTGTGTGTAACACCAGGTTTCAGAAGGAAGAGCTGATTGTTCTGGTTCTTTTTACCGTAGGCAGTTCGGATTACAGCTAGAGTCCTGGATTTTCGCAGCCTTTTGCTTCAGCTCCTGGGCAGGAAAAGAGGTGGAAACCGACCTGCTGCAATTGCGTCCTGTGAAAGGGGAGGAATACCGAACACTGCCCTGGGATAATTTGGCAAAGTGCTTCCTCCTGAAAAGGCTTCTGAAACAATCACCAGACATCTGGGAAGCGAATTGGAAGTTGAAGTCGTGAGGTTTTTCTTTCTAGCGGTGCTGAGCATTTCACCCATGGACACTGTTGTCCACATGGCATGGATGTATACCTAAACTCACTACGTGCTCCGTATTCCAGCTGCCAAAATAAAGTGCTTGCTTTCTTTTAAATACTTTTTTTCTTCTGGGCAGTATTTTGTCTTGAGTCATCGGTATAACCGGTTTTGGTAACTGGTTCCACATTAAATGCAGCCTGAGCCACTGTGTAGACAGTGCTGAGAAGTTTCATGGCAGATATTTTTATCCCTACCTTACTTTTCAGATTTTCTGACATAGCCTTCCATCATTTTGTAATGAGACCTATTTTCTAAATGAAGACTCTAATAGACGCTTGTTTATCATTTTTTCTTTTATATTTTATTTAGTATTTTTGTTAAAAAATGTTGCCAATAAGCAATATGGAGGTATCCAGATAGCTCCTGTTTACAAATGCCTGTTATGTGAAGCTAGAAAGTGTTCCACAGTTCAGATGTGAAATCTGGATTTTCAACTTCACAGGTTGTGTGTAAAAAGTGTATTTATTTCACCTGGAGCTCATGCTTCTTACAGTGATATGTACATGGAATAGACGAGAGAAGAAGCTGCCAGAGGAGAACAAAAAGCTTTTTAAAACAGAATTGGCAAATTTTGGAAATAGCCTTGCAGAATCTGTAAGCAGGAAGGATGGGTAGCTGATTTCTGTGAGGTCAAATCTATGTCAAACAGCTACGAATGTAGTATCAACGAGAACTGGGGATATTATCTCAAGGAAAACAAACTGGAAAAATATAAACCACGCAGTACTAACACCTTGTGTGGTCCTCTTGGGTTAGGTAAGTGGTGTGGTATTCATAAATAAGTTTACACTCGAATAAATATCACTAGGATGGTTAAACCAGTAACATTTACTGCCTAGAGGTTGTTGGTTTTTTTGAGAATCTTGAAATGTGCTTGCAGAATCTAAGTTTTACTTGCTGTTTTTAATAATTGACAGAATAATTCTTTAATATTTGATGAACACAGGTACAGGGAGAAATGTGTGGGTAGGAGTGTGGCTTTTCTGGGAGATTGAAAAATAGGTACATCAAGACTGTATCTGTAGGTAACAACCTTCATGCTAATATTGTGATCTCAGCAGTGAGCTATTATGCTTACTGAACAAGTCTGCTGGATGGCTTGCACATCTCAGTCTTCAAATTTGTATTAGATTTTTTTGCAGTATGATAGTACTAATGCAGATTTTGTTTCTCCCCTTTTCTGTACTTTGTCACTTATGGAAGCCAGGTATTTTTTACCATAAATTAGTTTACTGCCTATGCAAACTATTTTTTAATGTGTTGATACTCTAAGGTTAGGTTCAGAGTAATTTCCTATTCTGTAATGGGAGTGAATGAGTCTGGTCTGCAAGTATAATATTACAAAAAACCTCTACCTTTTTGGAAGGATTCAAAACAAAATCTAGTGGTGAAATAACTGAACTTGCATGCTGTTTTTAGATGTATTGCTGTTCCCTTCCTCCCGTAGTGTTTAAATGTTTCTGAAGATAGATACAGTTTAAATGTTGAAATTAATATGTTCACATTTGGTTTTCCTTGTAGATTTGTGTTCAGCTGAACTGCTGTTTCGAAGAAAATTAAGATGGACAGAGCAACGTAATTCAAAAGTTAGTGTTATTTTCCCTTGAGCTCTTTTCCCCTTACCCCACCTTGGTTATTCATAAAGCTTTAAATAATTAAAGCATTACTGGATAAACTTTAAACTATCTGGTGAAGATGACACATTTACCATAGTTGCCACCTCTTTAATTTTTTTTTTTTTCAGAGCTTCTGCAATACTGAATTATTACTAGTAGTGAGCTAGCAAAACAAAAATGTCCTTCTCTAAGGGCAGTGCAGAGGTACTTGGGAAGATGGCATATGTGAAAGCCTTGTAGAAAAAGTAAAGTTTTATGTGCTTATGTGAAGCTGTATCTAAAGATTACTGGGGTGTTTCCTCCCTGTAATTTGTTATTTTGACCGCAGATGAAAGACTTCCATATAAGTTTTACAAATTTTGAGGCTCACTGAAGTATTTCTGTGTCTTGTCTTGTCAGTGTCTAAAAGTTGATACAGCTTCAGTATTTTGCTTTCTTTGGGTAGCTCTGCTGTTTTGTTATGTAACTTCTGTTTCAGTTTTGATGTTTTGAAAACATGGGAAGTGTGGAATGTGAACAGGAGGTGGTTTCTGTACTCTCTTGTGTTTCTGGCTTTGTGGCTCTTCTGTATTGAGTTCAGTGTGGCTGGGGATTGACTGAATGAACTGAGCCACAGGTGAAGGAAGGAAACCAACAGAGAAGAATGATCTTCTCATTCCTTTGTCTGGGTTAATCTGTGTTTTGTTTGGAAGCATTTGGTAAATGGAAAGAGTTCAGTAAGTGGCCATTTCTTTCATTTTTTTTTTTTTATCTATTGTATAGTCACAATAGTAATACAAGTACTTGCTTCTTAACTCACAAAGTGATGTCTCGTTTTTCAAGCTATTGACTTTCAGTGCTGTGAGATACTTCTTCAGTAGAGGCTCTCAGTGAAATTAAGGAGCTGCATCCCCACTTACTATTTTGGGTGATATCTCTATCTGGACTCTTGTGGATATTGCAAAGAGTTCGCATTTTTGAGCTTCATTAAATTAACTTTGTCTTTACATCTCTGTTTGCTGGTAGGATCTTTTTTTTTTTTTCTTTTCACCAAGTTTGCACCTTGGGAAGTCCAGTTGTTCTTATTGTGTGCCTATTCATTCATGTTTTAAAGGTGTCCTTGTACTGTAAGTAAAATTCATACTTGGGTGAGTCCCTCTGAGCAGAAAATGCCTTGCATGCTAGGCCATTTTAATTCCTTCTTTAGGTTTTTATTTGTGTAGTGATGACAGTTTGTTAAGTGGTTTGCAGACAACTATGAAGATAAGGTCCTTGTCTCCAAGAGCTTATGCTTTAAGCCTGCATGTAAACATAGCTTTTGTACTGGAATAACTGTCAGCAGCTTCACTCTTTTACTGATGAGGTTATTCTGGTAGAAATCCTAAAAAGGTACATTTGTGTTGAGAAGTTCTCTTGAATGGTGTAGGCTGCTCTGCTGCGTGAAAAATGTGTTGGTGGAAGCTTGTAAGATTAAGCAGAGTTTACACTTACAGCAAAGCTTAAGTGGAATTACATGGTTAAAATGATACAGGGAGATCATGTAGATATTTAGGTTTGTTAGTACTTAACAAGTTAATATATTTTAGGCTCCTTTGTTTTTCTCCTTTCTAATAAGATTCTTCTGATTAAAATATGTGGATAAAGCGATGTGACAGAGTTCATCAGTAAGTTTTGGGGAAGTAGCTTTTATTTATTTTTTTAGTACTAGGAATAGATTGTCTCTTGCAAGGAGAACTGTTTGCAGACCTTATTATAAATGAGCTTGAATGAGACTTGGCATGCTTTTTGTTTGGGTTTTTGTTACTGTGTGTGTTTCGGCAGTGGTATTACACAGAAAATGATGATAAAGCCCTGTGTGGTGCTAACAGCTCTTCCACAATTGCCTCCTTCCCTCCCTTCAGCTGTTTAGCTGAAATAGCGTTTTTCTGGTTTCTGTGCTCAGGATGTCAAACCTGCTACTATTTTCAACTACTTTTTCTTCAGATCCTTGTGAAGACCGCAAAGTGCAGAAGAATTCCTGGTGAATTTGTTACATGATGTGTGCTGAATGGGGTGGTGATGTTATTGCACCACCACTTCAGGTTTTTTGGACTTTGAGCCTTGTGAACAGCAAGCGATTAGCCTTTACCTAGCTTTCTGCTAAATGGTGCTGCAGGTGTGTTGGGTTTCAAGCAGAAGGAACCTGGTTGTAGTTTACCTTCCAGTATGAAGTCTCTCTGTGTTCCAAAATACATTTTATGTTTAAATTTACATTTTGGTACAGTGCAAGAAATAAAAAATAAAAGGCAACTTGTAGAACTGATGATTAAGTTATTTGAAGCACTCTCATTAACTTTGGCTGTTTCTAAAACACCTTGTAAAAGGTGTTTTGATTGTTGTTGTCATTGTCCTGAACTCGGTATATATACGTCATTGTGACATTAATATATGTTTCACAAAGTGATGTAAACCCTGTTGCTTGTGGACCATATCTGTATACAGAAAGGAGAGTACATGATAAAGAACAGTGGTTGGGATTTTTAGAGCAGTGTCCACCTAGGCCCATTGGCATTCTTATGCAAAGCAAAGCATGGTTCTGTTTATTTTTCTCACATAAGGAGGTTGATCCCTAAGTAGAAATGAAGGTGGGTTTTTCTTGTTTGTTTGTTTGTTTTTTGCTAAGGCACTGCAAAGCTAGGTTTTAGGGCTGTGGCTGTACTGGAGAATGTGTTTTCTTTCAGTGGTTAAAAAATGGACTGTTACAGTGTGACTCTCTGCAGTCCTCGTACCTGGATGTTTCATCAGACTTCTGGAAGTGTTCAAATTTGAGAGAGGACCTTGTTCCTTCCTCGGTGTTCTTCAGGAAGCCCTGGTTCTCATACTTCATTTTAAAAGATGAGGCAAGAGGGTAAATGAAAAAAAAAAAAAATCTGGATGTTTTATTTTATTTTTCCTTATTGTCCAGTGCTAGAACACTCATCAGAAGAGTTCTGTATTGGATGGTGAGGACAGCAAGGCTAAAACTGGAGATTTTACTTGCTCTTCAGTAGCAGCATTGAAAAAGAAGAGGTTTCACTGAGTTATCAAGATCTGTTTAGTATTTGTTGAAGCAGTGGGAGAGAAGACCTTTAAAGGTTCAGCTCCCTATCGTTTTATTGGAGGTGTGAGTCTGACAATAAATTTCAGAGAATCAAGGAACTTGAGAGAGTTACCATAACCAAACTTAACTTTGTGTGTAAATTATGTGTCTGTAAACAGTCTTCTGCACTGAAATGTGGTGGTGAGTGTGGCAGGCACACTTTCCTTTCAAAGTGTTAAAAAGTTCATTGTAAAGATTTAAGCTTATTCTGTTGTTGTGGCTATGCATTTACATAGAAAAGAAAGGAAATAATCATCAGTTGAAGTAGTTGTCATGTTTTTGCAGTGATACATGATCACTGGAAATGCTTCCATTTTTGCAAACTTAGTAAAGCTTATGTTAGGTTTTGAATATTAATTCCTGTTTTATTAACAGGAAAATTTTGGATAGCAGAAAAAACTCGGATTTAGCTTATTTTGCTTTGCTCAAACTAAATAAATCTCAGAGTTAGGAAGATCTCTGTGTTTAAAAGGGTAATGAAAATTGAGATTTATAGGCTTTAAACAAAAGTACTGTTTAAAGCTTACATTTAACAACTTCAAATTAGTGCTGCTCTTGACTCTTGGTAACAGGGAAGAATCTGTTATCACAACTTTTTTTTTTTCTCATTAAGTGAGTTGTGGCAGAAAGAAAAATGTTTGATGGACTGGATTATTTTAAAGGCCTGTTAAGTTTGAGAATAGCCCTCAACATTTCTGTTTATGAAGAAGAGGGACTATAGTCTATTTAGTCTATTGTTTTTAATTCTGATGACTTGCAGCCTTCTTTTATAGAATCATAGAATGGTTTGGGTTAGAAAGGACCTTAAAATCATCTAGTTTCAATCTCCTGCCATAGGCAGGGACGCCTCACACTAAACCATGTTGCCCAAGGCTCTGTCCAGCCTGGCCTTGAACACTGCCAGGGATGGAGCATTTACCATTTCTTTGGGCAACCTGTTCCAGTGCCTCACCACCCTCATAGTAAAGAACTTCCTTATATCTAACCTGAACTTCGCCTGTTTAAGTTTAAACCCATTACCCGTTGTCCTGTCACTACAATCCCTGATGAAGAGTCCCTCTCCAGCTTCCTTGTAGGCCCCCCTTCTGATTCTGGAAGGTGGCTCTGAGGTCTCCACACAGCCTTTGCCCCGTTTATAAATATTACACTAAAACTTCTGTGACAAGGAGAGGGTAGGTTGTCAAACAAGTGTGTAGCTGGAGCCAAGGTTCCCATGAGTATTTTGTGGTGTGCTGCACTTACGACAGTAATAATCTGTGAGGCATTAGGTAAAAGTTCGTGGGTATGTGACACTTAGATATGCACACATGCTAATCTCAGACTTTCCTGAAAATTATGAATGCGCATATATCCATGTGCTTTTAACATCCTGTTTGTGGGTTTCTCTATGCAAATCAATAGGCTGAATTTCTAAACTGGTCTTCAGGGAGCATCAAGAAATCTGAATCTGTATCTTACTTCTAACTTCAGGAATTTGTGGCTTGAAGCTCTTTTTCCCTGTTAATAATTCTGCAATTCCACTCTCAAGCTTCAAGTATTCCTAGCTGTTGCGTATTGCCTTTTATTTTAATTGCTTTCTGACAACCTCTTAATTACCCAGAGGCACAGAAACTACTTCCTGAAAAATAATGTAGGCTGTTGGGAGAGCGTGAGAAGTACAGAAGTTGAAAACGCAGAACTATTTTTCCTTGTCTTTAGCTTCTGGTGAGATGGGTTCAGCTGTTCTTGTTCCTCCCCATCTTCCCCCAGTTCTAGCATTTTTTTTTTTTTCCTCCCCGCTATAAAATTTTGGTTAGCTCCACTTAAATTTGATATATTTCTTAATTAGTTAAATTCACAAGATGGCCAAAAGCATGCGAATTAATACAAAGTA